TTTGAGGAAAAAGATCAGCTGAAGGTAAAGCATTTAGTAAATATGCAGAAACTGACCGCAACATAACTGGTTGCAGCTATTCTAGTCTGAGCAAAAACATTTCATATGGAAATAGTGGTAAATCTGAACTAGGATATTGTCATTTGCAACGAATATTGCTGGGATAAAAGGAATAATGTGGGATTAAATTCTTTACTAGTAATGACATCTTTGCAACACTTTTGATCAGTGTAATATAGTAAATGCTTTTCTCATTTAATAGTAATTTTTTTGTTAGAAGTACACTGGCAAATTCTTGTGAAAGTGCTCATTATTTATGGGTTTTAAATAAAACCTGCAAACCTAAAGTTTATTGCAGGTTTCATTCTGAGATTTGACTTGTCCAGTATTAGCATCAGAAAGGATCATTACAATATGTAGAGCTGATAAACTGTTAGGCTTGTTTGCAGGTTCTTGTGGATTTGTATGGAGGATGGAGATGGGGGGGAAAATTGTGGACAAATTCCTTGTTATCTGGTGTACTCAGGGCTTAATAGAAGGGCCCTTGTCGCTAATCTGCTTTCTCAACTACCTCGACTCCTGGTCCACAACTCCCATTTCTCCCTCATTCACCTAGGTCCTAATGGATCATTGGCCTTTGGTTGTTGGGAGCTGTCTACATTAGACATCTGTTGGCCTGATTAGCCGTCAGCTCTCAGGGCAGCAGGATTTCTATCCCCAGGGTCCTTTATCCAGGGAAATACCTTCTGCTGGCCAATTAAATAACTAATTGGCACATATTTCAGTGGGCTTTCCCCAAAGGAGATAATGCAGGTTTTCACTGACTAGTGTCACCTCATTAAATGTTGGCTGTAATCAGATAAAAATGGATGCTAAGCCAAAAATGCCAAAGTAGGTCAGATGAGGATTTAGTATGATTAATAGTGGATCAGAGAATTGTATTTTACAAATAAACTTTTAAAGAAGGAAGAAGACGGGGATATTTGGAGATGACATTCCTGAATTTGGCTATAGCTGCCAAAACAAAGCTCACAGCATTTGGAACTACATAGGTAAAATTATAGGGCATATGTTGAATTGAATTATGTTCACGCATTCTGGTTAAACCTGATCTTCAGTGCTGTGCCTACTGGTGGGTTTTTCTTGATAACCTCCTTTAATGGAGCTGTTGGTTACAACGGAGTATTGGTTACATTGATGTTAGTAGATTTTTATTATCACCCTGAGTGCTCCGAATGTGCAATCTGGTACATGTTACTCCTACAGCAACTGTTCATTCTTATCGACAGAGACTGATAAATGAGTGTCTGCAAGCTCTTTAACTGTGGATGGACTCATAGCTGATCCACTTCAACCTTTGTCCAACTTCAATGAATAAACTCTTTACGGATCGTAATCATGATTGGCTACATGAACTACAATGACTTTTTGTCTTCTTCCAACAGGCATGTGGACAAATGCATCACTTCTATCAAAGCTTTTGCTGGCACCTCCTTGCTGACATGTCTGAGTGTCACACAGGCGATATTTTTATTTAGAATGGCATCAGATCCTTTCACAGTTCTTGTAATACATCCATTCCATATACAAGTGATACATACTTCCTCAACCTGCACCCTTTGCCACCTAAAAGGGCATGGCCTGTATAAGCAAGGAAAACCATCACCTTGAAATTTCATTCTAACTTATGCACTATCCTGACCTTGTCAATGATTTCATCTTTATTTTCATTACTGCGTCAAAATTCTGGGCCTTATTTAACAGCACCATGGCATCGCACAGCTGCAGTGGCTTAAGAACAGCCCACCATTATTTCCTTAAGGGCAATAAAGACTGATCTTGCCATCAACTCAGAACAAGAATTATTTTCCTGCTTTGATGGATCTACCTTATGAAATAAAATGATTGTCATTCTCATTTAATACCCAATTTACTTCACATAGACACATCCCAAGAGTATTACAGATGGGCGAAAATATATCCGACATGATGAAACTTCTTTTTGAAGGAGAATATTATCTAAAATAACATAGTCCTGGAAAGAATTTAACACTCAAAGGTCACTCTGAGATTTAACTTATTACATTTCACATTATGTGAAGAGGAAAATTATTTGTATTAATAAAAAAATCATTTCTTCTTCCTGAATTGGCTAATAAAACGAAATCCAATTTCAAATGACTCAAGATAAGACGACAGCTACACAACTTCCATCAGCTCAGCAAACAGTAATAATGAACAGAGATGACTGCCATCTATGATAAAGCACTCCAATTAGCCATTCTGTTTTTACATTAATGTTAATTATAACACAGACAGTAATGGATTATTGAGTTTTTATGGCAAACATGCCAACAAAATGCCATCTTCCTTTTTTTAAATTACATAAAGGTAGATTTAGGGCAAGAGATTTGACTTTGGATGGTCCTTCCGAGATATTGTTAAACCACAGGCACCTGCTTGAAACTGATGTCTCTAAAGAACATCACAGGGCCAGCACACCTAAATTACATCGCCAACTCTGTATTGTTCACTGGTAAGGGTAAATGGAGCCTTTGTACGTGTACTTGAGTTTTCAGCTGAAATTGAAAGCACTGAAAATTCAGCTTATTTAGTGCTAGCAGCCTGGCACAGGCAGGCAGAGTGAAGCCTGTCCTAGTGGGAGCACTGAGTCTGAGATAATGATTTCAAGGACTACTTCAAGACTTTGGTTAAGTTGACGCTTTAATGTAGTACTGAGATAATGCTTCATTATTAGACGTGCTGTCTTAAAGCTGCGACATCACATCTCAGCCAGCTCTGTCCTCTCGGATGTACAGTACTTGACAAGCATGGCTACTGTCTCAGCCTCCCGGTCTAGTTATTTTAAACAATCTGTTCAAACGTGTTATGACATTCCTCAGGGTCAGGTGAGATTTGATCTACTGGCCCACAGATAGGGACACTGCCACTATGCCACAAAAGCCGGTCTTGTGGCCTACATTTATCCCAAAAATTAACATCTTTAGAAACAAAGTAATTGGTCAGTTAACCTTAATACAGTTTGCAAGGGGTTTTTATGTACAAACTGGCTGCCATGATAGGACATGAAACAGTGGCAACATAACCAGGTGCCTTTAACAATGGAACAATGTCCAAGATTTTGCAGAAGCTAAAGAAGAAACATGCATTAGGCTAAAGAAAGCAATGTAAGGTGAGGTGTCAGATGTCAGTTTAAAGGAGGAAACAGAGTTAGACAGCAGGGTGTCTTTATCAAGGGCTGAAGATTCCAAATCTTAAGTTTGAGATGGCTGAAGGTAATACCAAAAGGGGAAGGGCAACTGGCGGGAGGGAATAGATGAACAAGAGGAGACAGTCTGATAAACAAAGCTTGGCAGTGGTAGGGGAATGTAAAGTTGGAGTAAATTATTTGGGAAGGACAGAGTGAAGGCATGATAGAATTTGGTTGCATGGATGAGAATTTTAAATGGAGATTTTACAGAACAAGTAGTCAATTGTTAGTGAGAATAAAGTGATGGATGAGTGTAAAATGACTGCACGGCTCTGGATGAATTTAAGCTTATGGAGGATAGACGGTTGATCAACATTGGAATAGCCAAGTCTGAGGGAACAAGAATACAGTCGAGAGTTTTTTGCACCAATTGGGTTGAGGTAGGAGAGGAAATTGGTGGTTGTTGTGATAGAAGGGATATGGGGTCAGGTCAGAATACCAGCTCAAAGTTGAAAGGAAGTCAAAGGTTACAGTCTGGTTTAATATTAGGAAGGATGATGGAATCATTTTAAAAAGGTACAGTACAAAACAGTGGCAAGTAGGTGAAGACAATTACTTTACATACCTATCATTAAGATGGAGGAAACTGGAGCTCATTTACAAACTTTAGGGTTGGTCGCAGACCTGCAGTGACTCCCATTTAAAAAAAAACTCAACATTTTAAAGTTCTCATCTTGGTTTTCAAATCTTTTTGTGGTTTTGCCACTCCGTATCTCTGCCATCTCCTCGCTATTCAATTGGGATATGCGTGCACCTCCAATTCTGACCGCTTGAACTTTGACGATTACAATCTCTCCATCACTGGCTGACCTACCTTCATTTGCAGAGATCATAAATTCAAGGTTCCCTCCATCAATTTCACTGGTCTCTCTCTCACCTCCTTTAAAAGGTTCCTTGAAAGGATAGATCCTTGGGGGAGGTCTTGTGGTAATGGGGCAGGTATGGAAGAGAAGAAACTGATGGTAGTATTCTGGCAAAAATCTGGTAGGTAAAGGTGGAACCAAATTTTTTTGTATTCATTCACAGGATGAGGGTGTCACTAGCGAGGCAGCATTTATTGCCCATCACTAATTTCCTAGACGGCAGTTAAAAATCAACCACATTGATGTGGGTCTGGAGTCACATGTAGGCCAGAACAGGTAAGGATGGCAGTTTCCTTCCCTAAAGGACATTAGTGAACCAGATGGGTTTTTCCTGACAATCCACAATGGATTCATGGTCATCATTAGATTGTTAATTGCAGATATTTACTGAATTCAAATTCCACTATCTGCCATGGCGGGATTCGAACCCAGGTCCCCAGAACATTATCATCTCGGTCTCTGGATTAACAGTCCAGCAATAATACCATTAGGCCATCGCCTCCCATTAGGGTAGCACCAATAAGCTGGGCAACAGAAGGGAGAAATTGCAGGAGGGTGGGGTTGTTAAAGGCTGCAAGGACACTGAGGGGACACTTGAGAGATAAGGCATCACAGTTACAGGCACAATGGATGTCATTTTCAATTTTGGTTAGCACTACATCAGTTTGACAGCGGGCAGTGGGATGGAATGTGACTGCAAGAACACATGGAACAAGGCAGAAAAAGAGAATATGAACTGCTGTTTGCAATTAAAGCAAATTTAGAGCGTGTTAAATGGACATTGAATTATTTATGGAACAGATAAATCTGTGTATTAAGCAAAATCAAGATAAATAAAACCTTTATGAAAGGAGCTGGATACTTACACTGAGCAGTAGGCAGACTAGAAAAAAAACCCTTCAGCCTAGCTGATAACCATTCCAGACTCTCATGTAGATTTGCCAAGGCCTTTAGGTCGCTGACATCTCTTAGGATTTCATTCTGTGGGATAAGCTTGTCTCCCAAGTTGCCAGTCAACACTTCAGATTCTTTTGCATTGGCAGCTCTGTATTATAGTAATAATAATAACGTGTTTAAACACAGCTCCAGAGGGAAATCAAGGATTCATGAATAATAAACGTAATGTGACCAACATCACCACAATTTTTTAAAACATTCTCAGTGCTGTTACCATTGGTTTATCATGTAGTCCACATCTAATGTTCACTTTTGGTTACAAAGCAATTAAATCTATAAAAGTGTATTCAGATTTTACTTAATAGATAACACAGTGTGGAGCTGGAGGAGCACAACAGGCCAGGCAGCATCAGAGAAGCAGGAAAGTTGACGTTTCAGGTTGGGACCCTTCTTCAGAATTGGGGGAGATTTTACTTATTCATTATAATAGGTTTTAAAAAATCTTGAAAAGATAGTTCAGTTTTGTTGTTTAGTCACAATGAAGAAGGATGTAAGCGATTTATTTACAAGACTCCACAGGACAAACACATCACTGCACTGCACTGAAGGTTAGGGCAGATTTAATAGGTGCTCAAAATTATGAAAGTTTTTGACAGTGAAAAAAGACAATCTACTTCCACTGGCAGGATGATCAACAATGGAGGGCAGATTTGAGATAACTGACAAAAGAACCAGAGAGGAAATGAAGTGTGAATTCTTAAACAAATCAAGTTGTCTGATGTAACTTCAGAAAATAATAGAGGCAGATTCAATAGTAACTTTTACAAATGAATTGGAACATATTGTTGAAAAGAACAAATGCAGTTGGACTATGGGGAAAATCAGGGAAGTAGAACTAATTGGATAACACTTTCATTGAGCCAAAGATATGATGGGCTAAGTATTTTTCTACAATGCTAAGAAGCCTAAAAATAAAAAACAATTGAGAATGCTATAGAATCACAGAATGGCTACATATTACAGATGGACGCCATTCGTGTCTATTCTGGTTCTCTGAAACAGCAAGTAACCTAGCCTTCCAGCCATTTTCCCCACAGTTGTGGAAATATTTTCGCTTCAGAAAATTTTCCATTTCTCTTTAGAAGACTTTGACTGAAGTGCGTCCAGCACACTCCCAAGCTACGAATTCCAGATCATTAGCACTCACTGCACCAAATATTTTTCCTGATGTTGCTGTTGCTTCTTTTGCCAATCACTTTAAATTTGCGTCTTTTAGTTCCTGATCCTTCTGTCTATGCAAACAACTGTGATTTTGAACATCACCATCTTCTTAATCTCATCTTCTCCAAGAAGAACAGCTTCTCAATCTTTCCACACAACTGAAGTCTCTCATAACTAAAACCATTCTCATCAATCTTTTCTGCATCCTCTGAGGCCTTCAAATTCTTTACAGAGTGTGGAGCCCAGAACTGGACACCATCCATGATCCTGAATACTTTCTTGATCAGTTTCACAACCTACCCTACACTGATATACGTACGTATACCCCAAGTCCCTCTCTCTCGCGCTCTCTTGAGAAAAGAACACTTTATTTCATTGCGTCTCCTCATTCTTCCTTACCATGTGATTTCTTTCAAACATTTCTACCGCCTACTCACCTACCTTGGTCTGCCCTCTTGAAGTTTAATCAGTAGTTCCTCATAATTTATAACACTTCTAAATGTACAGTTGGGAATACATATCTATATTAAAGGACTATGTGAAGGGTACTAGAAGAGATGGACTTATTTGGATATTTTCTGGATTGAGAAAGATCAGGTGATTTCTTGGAACTGTGTTCAGCAGTATGTGGATGATGATCTGTTAATTATTCAAGTCATGGCTTTGGAGAAGCAGGTATATAAAGCAAGGAGAAAAGTTTATCGCTTCAAACACTTAAAAAAACTTGGCTTTGAAAGGACAGGGGCCTATGTTAATGATCACCTAGCAGCAGCTGCTGGTCTTAGAACTCTGGGTTTGCACACCCAGATGTCAGTGAATAAAAAAAATACACTACAGAACCAGAAATCCTGCTTCTTATAAGATGTTCCTCTGATAGAGTTTCCAAAATTCTCGTATTTCTGTTGACCTGGTAAAACCTGAAGTAGTGGACTATGACCAAATGCAACAACTTGAATCCAAGTTGATTGGAACTAGAACTTAAAATTTATCAGTTTACATCTTTCAGCATTTCAGCTTTGTCAACAGGACATTCCCTGGGCATGAGAAATAATCACGTTTTATCCTTTGTTTTCAGACATTTGGTCCACCGGAATTTTTCTTTCTTTTTACATTTTTAGGAAATAATTAATTCCGCAGAGAATATTTTTTCATGTTGTGTGAGTGTGTCTGCTGGTGTGTGGAATTAAGGGGATATAGTTTTAATTCTGGATCATAGCCGAGCTGTTAACCAATGTTTTGTCGTCTGCTTTAAGAATAAGTTTTGATCACAATAAATGGGTTATTCATGAGTTAATTAAAGGCAGCTGGTGATGTTCATTTTTATTTTTGACTATAGTACTAAAGAGAATTAGCCATTTGGTAACTGAAGCGATACTTACATGAATGGTTGGGTAGTGAGATTTGATCATCAGTACTTACAGCGCACAGATGTTCAAGAAAAAAAGCACTTAGGTATAAACTGCGAAATCCTGCAGTAGTGAGATGCAGGGAAAGTTAATGATTGGAGTGGGTTTTAATATGCCCAAGTACAGTATGTTGTGGTTGATATTATACAGTATGAATGTAGATACACCAACATGATGAGCAGGGATCAAATTTACACTGGCTACGATGTTATCAACCATTTCTGTGAACCTTATCACACTCAACATGCCAAAGGATGAGCACATCTGCCTCCACAAGCTCCTGTTCAGCTTGTATTCTCTTACAAAGTTCATTGCGACATGCAACCAATATCTAAAATAAGCAGTAAACCATCAGTAATCAAAAGCTGCCCAGACTCCATTGACCAACAAAGCCAATGCCATTCTCTCTGCTCTCGTTGAAATTGGGTTGTGATACAGTTGCTCAACGGTGCCACACAGTTGCATTTCAAATTGTCGCAAAAGTAATTAATGGCAGCCATATGGCCATCCATTAGGCATCTTATGCTGTTTTTCCCTGACACAAATATTTGTAGATCTTATCTTCTCAAGCCCACTAATGCACTCCACAGATTATGTGCAGCTGATGGTTCCTACATTTGCTGAGATGAACCAAGGATGTTAATAGCTAGTACTGGAAAACTGAATCCTGATGTCCTGTCCCTGGCTTACATTGATAGGAAAAGAATAAATTGTTACAATGCTAGCTTTCTATACACCTTCAAACAGGAGACTTGACATAAGGAAAGCATAGAGCTGGCCGTGAACAACTTAGATGACAGCTGTCTTTTCCACTCCTTCCTTCCTGCTTATTGCCAAAATTTGTTTTCCCCAAGAAAATCAGTAAACTACATTTCTAAGTCATTCTCCAGTTTGCTGAAGTCATAGAGTCTTTGAGTTATTGCAGCACAGGAGGAGACCATAAGTCCATTGAGTCCATGATGGCTGTGTACAGCAATTCAATCAACCCCACTCACCCATTTTATTATGGTTTCTCTCTAAGTTTACATCACTCCAGCTTTTTTTTTGGAATTGTTGATAATCTTTCCTTCCACTATTCTCATTGGTGAGTTCAAATTCATTACTATTTGCTGCATAAAAATATCTTTCTCACACCCACACCCCACCTCACATCTCTTTCCAAAATCTTGAATCTGTGGCCTCCTTGAAGTTGTAACATCAGCTGGAGACAGTTTTTCCTTGTTTAACTTGTACAAAGCTGTGAGAATCTCGCACACCTTTGACAAATCTTCCCTTTAGCTCCTCTGTTCCAAAGAGCACAATTCTAGCTTTTCTAACTTAAACTTGGTAGTTAAAATTCTTCAAGCTCTCTAACTATTTGTTAAAGCTTCTCTGCAACCTCTTAATTTACTCAAATCTTTCCTATTGAGGACCAGAACTAAATTAGATGCAATATTTTGGTTGTATCCTAACCAGAGCTTTATGAAGGTTCAGCATAATTTCTGTTTTTTTTTTAAATTTAATCCCTCTATGTACGAAGTCTAAGAACTCTCAAATTTTCTCAATATGCCCTGCCACATGAACCCTAGATCCTTCTGCCCTGTGCACAATTTAGAACAGTTCAATTTACTTACTATTGCCTCTCCCTATTATGACAAAATATGTCACCTTACACTCATGTTAAATTCCATTTGCCACTTGGCTACCATTCTGAGATGTTATCACTCTCATCTTCACTGTTAAATACATCTCCAAGTTCAGTATCATTTACAAATTTTGCCATTTCATTTTATTTTCTAATATTCAAATTATTTATGGATATTAAGAAAAGGTTTTCCTAGCACTGATCCTTGGGGAACACCACTATCTACCATTCCCCATTCTGAAAAACAGCTTTTTTCTGTCTTTCTAAGGAATGACAGGTGAATAGCATGGACACATTTAAGTAGAAGCTGGATAAATAAGGCAGAAAGGAATACAGGATGTGATAATAGGGTTAGGTGAAATAGGATAGGAGAAAAATAATGTGAAGCGTGAATATCAGCACAGATTAGCAGGACTGGATTAAGTGTTTCTGTGGTGTACTTTCTTCTTTTATACTAAATGGGATTTTGATATTCAGGCAAAGAAATAGTTTTGATATACAGTAGGCCACTATGGGTTCATAAATGATGCATCATACAGTTAGTGTGTGTTACAATGAATTTCATTTTTATGTACTTTGAAAATTTGGTCAGGTTTTCAGCAGTAAGTACCAGCTTGATTGTATGTCCTGCTGAGGATAATGCATTCAAAGAGCTGTAAAGATGAGTGAAGAATTACCACTGTTGAGCAATAAATGTGTAACTGGGTGGCAGGCAACATTTTGATTCATTGCCTCCTACACTGTACTACTAAGAATATGAGCTTCTGTCAGCTGCAAGAATCTCATGAATGTGAACCTGTGAAAGTATCACTAAGATAATCGGAGCAGGAACACACCTATATCTTGGGCGATCTTACATTGCTAAATTCCTTAAGTGTGCCGTATATTCCTGCATAT